TACTTAAATGTAGAGGAAACATTCTATTCTTTGTCATTTTCACATATGATATTAATGTTTTATTCTTGTCACGAATTAAGAGAGTCATATCTTTCATCTCAACATCATAACCTTTTTCAAGTAATTGTCCCAAGCTTAGAATATTATTTTTCATATCAAGAACATAATAAACATCTGAAATGCATAATTCCTTGCCATTATTAAGTTCAAGGAGAATTTTACCTTTGCCTCTTGCTGGTCTTTGAGACAAATCACCAAATGTAATGTTCCCGGAATAACTTGTATCCATTTCTGAAAATAACTCTTTCATGCCACACATGTGATTTGAGGCTCCTGTATCTAGAAATCATATCATAGACTGATCCTCTTTCAAATTATCATAACTCATTAGCAAAACTTGATTTTCGTTTTTTTCTTCCTCAACAAAATTTACCTTATCACCTTGATTGTTAGGATTATAATAACATTCATAAGAGTAATGTTCATACCTTTTACAAACATAGCATTGTATTTCAGACCTTTTAAAGTTTCTATCACGTCCACGGCCTCGGCCATAACCTCGACCTCTTTGGCTAGAATTTTCTCTAGCATCTTCATTATTTGGAGATTCTTTATTTGTTTGATTTCTGCCTCCTCTTCCTCTTTGTCCTAGTCCTCTTCCTCTTTGAGAATTTGATTCTCCTTTATTTTCAAGAGCAAACTTAGCTTGTAGTGCCTACTTCATAGTTTTGTCTTCTCCTTTTTTTTGTAATTCTTTGTTCATGAACTTGAAAGGAACCCATAAGTTCTTCTAAAGACATTTTTTCCAAATCTTTAGATTCTTCGATCGCAACAGCAATAAAATCAAATTTCGGATCTAGAGATCTCAATATTTTTTCTATTACTCTCTGATCTTTTACTTGTTCATCATTTCATCTTATTTGATGAACAATAGAAATGATTTTTGAGAAGTAATCAAAAATAGTTTCAGAAGTACCTTGTTGTAATTTTTTAAACTCGACTCATAAAATTTGTAGACGAAGTTTCTTTACCTTATCAACACCACCGAATGCTTTTTGAAGCATTTTCCAGGCCTCCTTTGAAGTATTTGTTGGAGCGATGATCTCGAATATTGTATCATCAAGCCCTTGGTAGATTGTGAACAAAGCTTTTTTTCTTCTTCTTCCTTCTTTCTTTGAGTTGTTTTCTTCCTTCTACACTCATTGCTCCTTCTTCTGCTGGACTTGGTTCAGCAAATCTATCTTCTACAAACTCCCATACATCTTGGGAGCCTAGAAAAACCTTCATTTGGATGCACCATATGTCATAATTTTCTTTTATCAATCTGGAGATCTGGAGTTGGATGACACTTGATAAAGAGGTCATAACTTAACCTATGCTCTGATACCAAATGTTAATGTTGATAGGAAGAGGAGATGGAGTTATCAAACAGAAAAAGAGTAGGACAAGCTTCAATCTTCTATATTTTTCTTAAAAAAAACACTTTACAATTTCAGAAACTCTCTCTTTCTCTCATGACCTAACATATGAGGTTTATATAGTCCCCAAAGATACATTACATTAATTATATTCAAGATGAATCATTCTCTTTCAAGAAACTCTTTCAAGAACCAATAACCAATTTGACTTATCCTTTTATAGATTTTTAATTTATTTTTTCTTCTTGATGTAATGAATCTCTCTTGATACAATGAATCTTTCTTTTGATGAAATGAACCTCTTTAGGATACTTGAACAAGTTTACTTCCAACAACTAGTTCATCATCTTAGATTGACCCATTCTTTGTTGTTCATAATAAATCACAAAGATCTCACTGAAGCATTTCCCAAAATAAACTAAGTTGTAGCTACATCAAACAAGGATCAAGAATTATAGGAAAAACAAAGGGTAAAGAACTGAAAACAAAAATTACCCAATGGTGTTCTCCCAGTTGGAAGTTTCAAAGATTTCCAAAAGGATGGTGTTAAAGATACACCAAACACCAAAGATCAAGAAATCCACACACACACACCCAAAGAAAAGACATCTTGAGCTGAAAAAGAAGAGGAAAAGAGAGAGAGTGAGAAACCAGGGACACAGAAATATCAAAAAAAAAAAAAGGAGAAAAGTTTTGCAGGCTCTCTCATGCAATCTTTGGAACATATTTAAAGAAAGGAGGATGAAGTAAAAAGATAAGCTCAGCAGTGATGTTTCCTCGTTGGAAGGTTTCGAGATTTCCAGAAAGATAGTTAAAGGTGCATCAAAGATTAAAAAAAAAAAATCCACCCACGCTAAAGAAAAGACATGTTGAACTGAAACGGAAGCAAAAGAAGAGAGAGAGAGAGTAAGAAACCAGGGACCAAGAAATAACAAAAAGAGGGAAGTTTTGCAGGCCTTAGGTACAGTCTTTGGAGAAAGACGAAACTAAAAGAACACTTGGAAGTGGTGTTTCCTAGTCGAAAGCTTCAAAGATTTCCAAGAAGATGGTTAGAAAGATCAAGAAATCAACACAAAAAAAAAAAAAAACAAGAACATGTTGAGCTAAAAAACGAAAGAGAGAGAGAGAGAGAGTGAGAACTCAGAGTAAGAGAAATGACAAAAAACAAGAAAAGTTTTGCAGGCTATCATACAATCTTTGCTTCGAAGAAAGCCGAAAGAGAAAGAACGAAAAGAGTGCTGTCACCAAGTTTCAAATGCTTCCAAAAGGATAAGCACATGAATTCAAGAAGAAAGAAAGAAGTACGGAACACCTGCAACATACAAGACTTGTCACAAAAGAAAGGAGAGCAGAAAGAAGGAGAAGACCAACCAATGGTGTCTCCCATTTTGAAGTTCTTGGACAAGGACCACGCCGTGTAGTTTGGGCTCCCCAGGATGGTCCACCCCACTGTCACGGACAAATTTCGAAACAGGATATTTGATGTAATACTTATGTATGTCCGTGTCTTTTGGTATGTTCATGCTTTGTACAGTATGTAGAGGGACGGTCGAAGGCTTAATAGTCCCATTTTAGTAGGGTTGGTGGCCGCTTTAGGCTTGTAAATAAAGGTTGTGTCATGTGGACACGTGTGAGAGATTTTTGATCTGTAATGGACCATTTTACCATTTGTTGTGCAACTGTTCAGAGCTCGTAAAGTCTGTTTGTAATTTGCATTGTCTATGAAGTATTTTTCGGAGATGTTTGCTTGTGGATCCCGATTGAGGCGTTCTCTCTAACCCGTTCTCTCTTTTGTGGATCCTAAGGGATATAGGAGGCTTCGGAGAGGCTGACCTTTGCGGATGGACACGCAAGGGTGCCGCACGACTTAGGCAAAACCAGCTAAGTCCGTGACACCACGGCATCCCCCACCTTGTAAATCACACTCTCCGACCGCCCAACGCCGGCGACGAGCAGGAACACCACCAACGCCGCTACCATCGCCATTGGCCTTCTCCACACTTGTGGCTATTAGCACTCTCTTTTGACGACGAGAGGTAGTACAGCGCTTTATACTACTAAGTAACACCCACCCCATTATATATATATATATATATATATATATATATATATATATATATATATATATATATATATATATAATCTTCCTTTATGATGATTCTGAATTAGAGTATGTAATTTTTTAATTCCTATGTTAGATGATTTCACATTGTAGAACAATTTGGGGGAGTCACCTTTCAATAATTTAATCCTCCTGTTAAAACACAAAAAAAAGGAGAAAGACCAGAAAAAATAAAAAGAATATAACCTCTCAATGTTTCATGCAGAGTAAATAATGGTGAAGACAAGATTTTATTACTTTATTGTTAATAAAGATTTTTAACAACACTACACCACTATCATACTAATTACACATGAGGCTTGTAGATTTGGGCTTATTATGCGAAAGTTAAAAGTAATTACCAACTTCAATTAGGGTAGTCTCTTCCCAGTCAAGGTGTAACTTTTTGTCTCTCTTTTGTAGAACACCCATGGGGGCACGCAGGGTTGTTCATCCTGTCTTTTGGAGAACACCTACTTCATGTTGTATCTTAGGGTCACACCAAACAAATGGGATCTGACAACATTTTGGGACCTCAGTCACATGTGAAAGAGATCAATCTATCAAGTTTATTACTACTATAATTCTTCTAGGTCTACCACTTTGGCATTTGGGTTCAACCTGCACCAAATCTCAACTTTGATTTGGACTCCCAAACCCTAACCAAGTTCAGCCAAATCCTGTAGAAAAAAAAGGGACCAAACCTTGAATTTTAACAGAGTAACATTTTCCATATATTATAAAATCTAGTAAAAGACAGTATTATTATCATCACAAGAATTTGTAAGGTAGAAGGAAAAAAATAGATAGAGAAAGAAATTTGATCCTGTGGCCTATCAGCCAAGGCTACAGATCATCATGACAATTTTTTCAAAGATTTTATTGTAATTCAATCAAGGTTATCGATCATCTTTGCCATGATAAACTTTTTCGAAGATTTTATCATCATGTATCACATAAGCTTTAATGATCATTAAAACATCACATGTTCTGTGTGTGATTGCAAATTAAATGAAACCATGGTTTACCTGCAGTTCATGTGCAACTTAGGTCATGCAGCAGCCATGCAACAATGGATGATCCAAGTAGAAATAATTCTTTCCTCCTGCACAAATTCACAGAAAGCTATCAGAAAACAGAAAATCAACATTACGGTAGTTTCTACCCTCTCAAGAACATCCATAAGATTAAGTTGCTTCATGTAAAACCTGATGGAAATTTATGCGGAGCCAGAGTACATCCAACTGGATCAGGTGGCAGGAACATATCCCAAAAGAATCTTACATAAATCATCAAAAAGAGAATACTTGGAAGTTGGTCGCCAGTTCATGTTTCCTGCCAATGACAGAGCATTGTGAAGACATGTACAAGCACGTCACATTGTATCACTGTATGCACCCTGCTGTATATGTAACCACACTTTAACCATAACATATGGTTAACGAAGGTACGTTAAGTTCATGGCCTGAGACAATGGCATGTCAGAAGTAACGATAATTGATAACGCACGTCAAAGAAGGTTTGAAGCATGTTTGATTGTTGGGAATTAGGTAAATTACTTCTGATACAAAAATCGACTGTAGACAACAAAAGGACTGTTGTATTCAATATTTGAGATCTTTGTTGAAGAAAATGAAGCTGTTAATCACATCTCTCCTGCAGAATGGAAGCCAGACCAGACTGAATATCCTCTTTAGCTCGTTTGTCGAATGGATCCTCGCCAAAGTATAGATCCAACACTGACTTACACAAAAGCTTGCTCTGGATTTCCCCCACTTCCTTCCCACCAACTGCAAAGACAAGTATCATAAGCTTAAAAACTAAAAAACACAATAATCCTATGGGCAAATAACATGTATGCACTTGAAAGTAATATATAATGTGTTCCTCATGTGAATGTTTTCAGTGCTCAAGTAGTTTCACTAAATAAGTACTAAAAAGTTGGACAGGGCTTTATTTCTGGATATACATGAAGTGAACTTCTTAGTCCTTTGACTATACATAAAATCAAATATTTGTGCACAAAAAAAAACCAATTATCCACAAATTTTATCTGCAGCACAGCTAGAAACATCTATGTGTTAACCGAGATAATGTTGACCTAAAATAAGATAATGTACATTAATATGATGTAAGAGATCAGGATTGCCATGTAAACCAACTCAGTTAAATGTCATATGAGGATTAAGCCTCTGAAAGGAAAGGTAACATGCAAAATGTAAAAAGGAACTGAACAGACCAGTCAGATGCAAATTATATGGACTATGGAGGACATTGGTTGTTTGTCTTGCAGGAATTACTTCAAACCAATTTTGCAGAACTGAAAATCTTTTTAGGAAAATAAAAAATATAACAAGGATGCAACAAATGTGGTCAGTTTCAAGGAAGTCGTATTGAATAGTGCCCATTAACAGGAGAATTCTACCAAATATAAGAATGCAACTGACGCAACAGGAAGTGAGGAAGTGAAACAAAGACTGCAAATATTACATATTCAAGAGTAGATCCAAAGGTACAAGACATTTGACTTATTCTCCTTTGATCTAATAAAAAAGAGAAAAAAGTCCATTGTGCAATGCAAAAACCAATTGATATACTCCAACTTAAATGAATTTCCTAGAGAAAGCTAAACTAGTGTGAAGAAACCTATAAAAAAATAATGGTATTATAATAAATTAACCACAGCACTTATGGAAGCCAGTATAAGAGAAGGTAGCCAATCCAATCTACATCAATAGGTACTGAAATTTATCTCTATTACTCAACTAAAGCATTTGATGACTAAAAATATGCTGTATATTCATTGATTTCACCGATAAAAACAATAAACAGCAATCATCCCATATTGTCTTGGAACATATAAATAATAGCTTATTTCATTCTTGATAGGAGACAATAGTAATAGACCAACAAAAATCAATTTTTTACTGACAATAATACAACTTACTTCTTATTTGAAGAACGTAACCTTGTTCCCTTGAAAGATCTATCACAGAACCCCTTGGGAGCTTATATTCATCTTTAAATAAAGAAGTAAACCTGAAACAGGTGAATTTTAATGATCAACAGAGAGATATAAAGCAACTTATAACAGTTATTCTCAAATAAAACATTGAATCTCATTAACTGGTTTATATTCAGGTCATTGTCCAATATAACTATGTTCCGTAGTTCTAGTTTACAACAAAATTACATAATGCAGGACATTTTTTTACAATGTTCACCTCCTTTACAATATGAACAGAAAAGAAAATATTAAATGAAGTTGTCGCTGAATGGATAGATAGCACGAAGTCAAAGTAAAAAGTATGTATTTAAATACTAAATTTGGAAGGAATGCAATATTACAGCAGAATACGCAAAACTTACAGCAAGACAGAAAGAATGTTTCAGTGTCCAGCTTCATATCCTAATGTCTTCTTAGTTTCCGGAAGATAAAATTTGCCTCATATCTTCTAGATAAATAAACCTATCATATCATCCATTTGTATTTTTCTAATATAAATCACTTGACTAATGACAGTTGGTTTCTTGCAGGATGTAAATTACTACAATCATAAAAAGTTAAATTTAATGATTTAAGAAACTGATGGGTCTATCTCATAATTGTCTCCCATACCAAATTTCATAATACAAAATATAATGAGTTCGATGAAACAAGCAGAAAAAGAGTACCTTTGAAGCAATTCTCTGTTGTCTGATCCACTGAACTTTTGCATCCTACTTCCTACTGTCTTTGCAAATGCATTCCGCACAGAGCCTATGCTCAGTCTGTTGTATACTATTTGAAGCCTAACTGTCATGCGTAAATCCTGATCCAGGACATCTGAAATAAACTCCTTATTTTCCTCCAGTTCAGAAACTGAAAATGTGCCATATTTCTCACGCAATCCTTTCATATCACTGTCGTCAGCATAAACTCCTGCATGAATTAGAGAATCGACAATTCACTGCTACATTCTGATCAGATACAGCACCCACTGCAACTCAAACGAATTGGCCGGTGAATTGTCATGCAACTCATGACATAAATCATTACAATGGAGAAGCTTCTGGATGATGAAGATCTAATTTGATGAAGAAGTGTCCTACTAGTGTGGTGTGTCTGATAGATGCATAACATCGGTGGCTTGAGGTAGATATTGGGAATTACAAACCAAAAAATATTGCTAAAGACATTAATCGCCAATTTAGCAGCCTAATAATAATATTTCGAACCTGTTCAACCCAATTCCATAAAAAGTTCTTTCTTTTTTGTTTAACCAAATGGAACTGAAATAAGTCGTCGAGCATTGAAACTGAAATGTCAAGACCTCCATGAACTCCATTACACATCACAATCGAAGAATGACAAAGAAACAAGGGCGATTTCCAGTTCAGAAGGAGTCATAAAATATAAGAAGAAGCCCAGAAAGGTACAATTTTTATTGAAGTCGCCAAGAGAAGAAACAGGACAAACTTTGAAAGCTAAACATTCGAGAGGAGGCGAAGAAATCTAGATCAACAAACAAACCTCAATTGCGATCCCAAAACTATGCACATTTCCAAAATTAACCAACAGATTCTTCAGAAAAGTTACCAAATGCATAGACATCAATGTTCTTGAGCCCCAAGACACTGGTCTTGCGCAGCCCGATCCCGGTGAGGCGCCGGCCGCCGTCCAAAACGGTGGGGAAGGCCGCGCCAGTCCTCGGCTCCACGGAGGTCCCCGTGGGGCCATCAGCGAGGGAGAGGGAGGCCCAAATGGGGGAGGCGTGGCTCCACGGCTTCCGGCGGGATCCGGACGTGTCTGCGGCCGATTCGAGGGAGAAGCCCACGGCAAAGCCTATTCCGGCACCGATGGCCGCCGCGGCTAGGCGGAACGAGGTCGCACCCGTGGACCCGCGCGGTGGCTTCGGGGGCCGAGGCAGCGAGAACCGGAAGCGGAGGGAGCCCATCGCTGGTGCGCGTGGGATTTGGGAGGAGGGGGAGCTGTAGGTGAGAAGGTTTCTTTGCTTTTTCCGATTATAACTACCCTAACTAATCTACCAAATAACACCAATACCCCTGTCGATTATTTTCCTTACCAAAATACCCCTATATTTAATTTCAGATATAAAACCATGTCAAAAAGCTCTATTGCCGAGTCAAAGTGCTATTTTATCCTCACGTGTACCCATAAATTGTATCCAATAGTAAACGCTATGAGTTTAATTGAGTAATTGCATTTCTAAAAATTATTCATATAAAATATGATAATTGAGTCCGTATTCGTGGGTGAGGGTATTATAGTCATTAGGTGAAGATAACTTAATCATTCGTACAACGTTGATGCCAAGTTCCAAGGTGTTCATGGTCGCTCTGCCCGCTTCTACGGATTCCTGGGACAGTTGGGCAGATGCACTAGCTTGTTAGCTGGAGTCTTGATCAATGGATTGCTCTCAAAGAAGTTGGCAGGTCGTAGCTCGAAGCCGCCGCTCAATAGCGGCATCACCGGAAAGTCTTCTTGATATGGTACGTGATGAACGCCTACTGTGTACCACAGCACGATGTCTGTGTTCTCTATCACTCGATTCCTGCAAATAACGCACAAATGGTTCGTCTTCGAGCTTTCGCCAATCCTCCATAGAATTTAGTAGTGAAAGGACGTACCTCGCGGTCCATGCAGCCAAGTTGTCGTCTCCCCTGCTCTCGTCGGCGTAAAGCCCGGCCGCCCACTTCTCGGACTTGTTGTAGGCCGTCACCCGCACCTGCTTCTTGCTGTAGCTCGCCCTGATCTGAGGGTAATCGTCGTCGGAGAGCAGAGAGGCCGCCGTCGCACCGTGGCTGATCAGACGATAACCCACGTCGTTCCCCATCTTCGTCTTCTTGCTCGGGTTCACCACCAGCAGTTCCGCCGGCTCGGCGCCGAGCTCCACCAGGGCGTCGGCCTCGGTCCTCGCCGTCTCCTTCGCCACCGTCCAGTAACTCCTCCTCGGCGAGCTGTCGTCGGTCACCCTCACGGTCTTGAGCTTCGATTTGACGAAGGAGTTGTCCGGACCGTCGACGTCGAGGTCGAGGTGGAAGGTGACGAAATGGTCGTGGTAGACGCCCATGGTGTTTGCCGCCAGCAGTGTACCGTGCTGGTCGCCACTTATTTGGTCTGCGTGAGTGTACTGCGTGCCCTTCATTTCCAGGATGCCCGTCAGTGACACCTGTATGCATAAAGATGCCACGTGTGTTGATTAAAAAAATTATATGAGCATAAAATTCATAATCATATTTTTGTTAAAAAAATTTAATATTAAGAATTAAAATCAAGTAATCATATATCAAAACTTAGATGTATCTATCTCTAGTTATTCAAAAAAAAATTAATTGATTTATAAATCGATGAATTATCATCTGATTAAATATTACAGTTATATTAATCTATAATGGAAATAGAATACAAAAGCTACAATGATTTTTATCTATAAAAAGAATTAGACTCTTTTTTTTTTTCTTCGTATCTTTTACATGATAATAAGTAATGAGATAAGACCTATTGAAAATAGATCTGGATGGAATAAGACAATAAGAAATTAAAAATTGATAATGTATCATATATAGTCTATTTTATCTATTTATAAATGAAAACAGAAAACATATGATAAGTAATTAGAAAATTCTCTTTCATCAAGATAATCTTATAAGAAATCTTACTGTGAGTAATTAGAAAAAATTCCTTCTATTAAGATCATCTCATAAAAATCCTACTATAATTAAACTTATTTTTTATTGACTAATAACCATAATCAGAATCTAATTAAATCTATAATATATCTTACTCAATTAAATATGATCATATAATCTAACATTCACTGATCTATTAATTTTTAAAATATAAAAAAATAAAGTTAAAATAAATAAAATAAAATTTTATTTAAAATAATTTATCTAAATTATATTCTAAAAGTTTTAAAAAATATTTTACATGTGTGCATGAATTTTATACAACAAACCAATAAATCTAATAAATATAACAATTGTATGTCATCAATGTTATACTTTCTTCTATATATCACAATGATCTTTATATATTTTTCTAATATAATTCATAATGATCTTTATAATTTATCTTATTAAACAATCATATTATCACATTCAACTATAATATGTATATACATAAATATAGACAAGATAATAAAAATAAATAACTTTAACTAAGTAAACAAAGAGAAATATATATTCACTTAAATATATATCATCATATATTTATAAATTGCTTATAAGCCTCATTATAAGAATATGTTCCTTATGCTTTAGTAAATAAATCATCAATCATCATAGTGATATTAAGGTTCTATACTTATTATTTTTGGACTCTTTATCTAACAACAAAGTATTTTATCTTAATATAGTTAGAACCACTAAAATACTTACTATTATTAGAGAATAAAACTACTATAATATTATCAAAAAATATTTTTATTGGCTTGACAATTGAGTCTATCACACTAAATCTGAAGATAAAATTTTATAACCATAAAACTTGATTCGTGACCACAAAGAATATTATAAATTTAGCTTATATTATTGATGATACAATAAACGATTGCTTTATAATTTTCTAAGAAATTACCCCTTTAGCTAATATAAATATAAATCCTTAAGTAGATTTCTTATTATTGAGATAATTTATAAATTTAATATTTAAAATTTTTATTAATTTAAGTTGATCTAATCTCTTGTATATGAGTATATAATCTTTTATCCTCTATAGATATCTCATCACTTTTTTTTACAGATTTTTAATGTTTTATTCCTAGATTGCTCGAGTATCTATCTAACATTTCAATTGATATATGGTCCCCCAATAATTTGAGTATATAATAGATGTTTAACTATGCATACATAAGGAATATCTTTCATGTGAATCTTTTCTAAGCATTCTTAGGATACTAGTTTTGATTGAATTTCACCTCTAGTAATATTATATTATTAGATGAACAAAGTCGCATATTAAATTTCTCTAAGACTCGGTCAATACATCTTTTTTAAGATGGTCTTAACAATCCTTGAGATATATCTCTGAATATTTTAATACTAATAACATAAGTTGTCTTATTCATATCAATCATCTTAAAATTCTTGACAAGAAATATCTTGATTTCATGCAATAAATTTACTAGTAAAATATTATTCATATATAAAACTAATATAATAAATTTGTTCCACTAACCTTCATATATATATATGTTAATCAATAATATTTTCTTAAATATGAAGAAAGTAATTATATTATAAAATTATATATATCATTATTCGAAAGTTTGTTTAAGGCCATAAATAAATTTCCTAAATTTGTAAGCCGAACATTCCATTCCCTTCTTTATAAATTCTTTATGTTATTCTATGTAAATTTACTAGTAAAATATTATTCATATATAAGACTAATATAATAAATTTGTTCCACTAACCTTCATATATATATATATATATATATATATATATATATATATATATATATATATATATATATATGTGTGTGTGTGTGTGTGTGTGTGTGTGTGTTAATCAATAATATTTTCTTAAATATGAAGAAAGTAATTATATTATAAAATTATATATATCATTATTCGAAAGTTTGTTTAAGGCCATAAATAAATTTCCTAAATTTGTAAGCCGAACATTCCATTCCTTTCTTTATAAATTCTTTATGTTATTCTATGCATATTTTCTCATCTAAATTCTCATTAAAAAATATTATTTTTATATTTATTTGATATAACTCAATATCATAATGGGCTACAAATATCATAATGATCCTCGATGAGTCCTTTCTAGAAACCGAAAAAACTATTTCATTATAATTAATGTCTTCTTTTTTAAAAAAACCTTTGACCACATCTTGATATAGCCTAAAACTTTTTATATATTAGATATACATAGTCATGTCTTATTAGGTTATATATAAATATGATAAAATATCTCTCTTCACTAAAATAGAAAACATGAAGTGATCCGTAAATATCTCATATAGTTCTTTACTTCTTATAGTATTTTTCTTTATATTTGAATAAGACATCAAAATCAATAAAGTCTAAATCTTTCAAAATATCATCATTCAATAATCTTTTAATTTTTTTCTTAGAGATATGCCCCAAACTTCTCGATCGCAAGATAGAAGATTTCTTATCATCAATGTCTTTACAAACTCAAATTTTAAACTAATTTTATATAAACCATTGTATAGAATTTCAAAACTAACTTTTACTTAATCATAAAGTATACTAAGTTTACTATCACCAAAAGAAATAAAATATTTTAACTTATCAATTCTAGATTGAGAAACTAATTTTTTTGAAATACTAAAAACATAGCATGTGTCCGTAAAATTCATTAGATAACTCGTCTTTTAAGTATAAATGATAAGTTCCTACTACAATTACTTTTGTTTAAGATAATTCCTCACAATAACGAACCTTTCATGTTCTTTTGACTTTTGGGTTGAAAAAAATAATTACATATTATTAGTAATATGAGATGGAGGATCAGAATCAATTAACTAAGTATTAGAAAAAACCTTTGTAATATCTAATTCGAAACATACAATGGTTAAGTTTATATCTTTCTTTTCAAATCAAACCTTGCATTTAATGAAATCTCTTTTCACATCTTTTCTTACCACAAAAGAAATACTTTACTAAGAATGTTTTCTTTTTATTAATCTACTAGTATTTTCAGACCCGATAAATTTATTTGGTAGATGATACTTCAACCTTCTTTTCTTGTTACTAACTCTTTGAGTAATAATCAAAATATTATAAGATCTTTTCTACCTTAATATTAATTCTTCGTTGATATATATACTAGTTAACTCATTTATGTCTCATTTATCCTTATTTATATTGTAGTAAATCTTGAAAATACCAAACTAAGGAGGAAGAGAATTAAAAATGAATTGGATGAAAAAAAACTCATCTACATTCATGTCAAACATTTTAAATTTCACAACCTTATTAATCATATTAAGGATGTAATCCTGAATCCCTTGAGTATTGTTATATTGAACTATAGTCAATTCTTTCATTAATATGTCAGCTAATAACTTATCAATAAATTTAATCTATCTTCTATAGCCTTTAAATATTCTTATATGCTAGTTGTAAGTGATAATAATTTTTTTATATTATTTACAATTATCAATTTTATAAACATTAGACTGAGTCTATTAAATCTTACCTAAGCATTCATTTTATTGATTTGTTCTATGGTGCTCTTATCATTCAAGTTTGTAGGTCTTTCAACAAGCAATGCTAGATCAAGATCTAATAGTGTGAAGTATACATGCTATAATCATTTTGAATATTTGAACCAGATAACTCAATGTAAATTATACATGCTCTAATCATTCTAAATATTTGAACCAGATAATATAGGGACACTAGAAATATAAAAATATAAGGAATGAAGTACTACTATAAAATATAAAAATATATTAATGTTTTGATTTTCTAAGATATGCTGAACTATTAATATTATTTATATTTTACTTTTTAGTAAAATATTAATATATTTAGTGTTCAAATAAAATTATTTGTGAAAGACTCATATATTTCTTATGGAATATTATTGTTATCTTTAACTATATAATCCTAAGCTATAAGAATATCCAAAATAATATCATCATACTCAATCATATAATTCTTGAAAGTAAATTCTTTTCTTAGATTATCTATATCTTTGAATTATGTGTGTCACTATGAATATTATTTTTTAATATCATTTAGAGTTAATTTTTAATCTAATTTTATAAGTTATTGATTAATATCACTTTGATAGCTATAAGATCAATATAATAATATAGAATATAATATTGATTAAGGTCAAATAAAACTTAGGAATGTAAGTTATAAATAATATTTATCATATATTTATTTATCTAATTTATGCATAAATAATTTAATAATAATAAAATAATAAATATTAAATATTATCAATACAAAAAATATTTGTTAACTGTAATCATGGTAAAACATAGATCAAATCTTTAAGTGAAAAAATAAATATTATTTCATAATTTTATCTGATTTCTAGGGTAGAACTATTAAAGGGACATCAATTGAAATTGAAATAATTCAAAAGGGTATAATAGTATTTTAATGGGTGAAAAACTCTAATCCCATTTTGTTTCCTTAGCTATCTAAGCCTACACAAGGCCTTTACTGCAAGGTCATATGTTGCTTGCACATCGCCAATCCGAACTCTCTTTGTGGTTGATCAATGACCCCCTACGGTAGCAACGGTATTCCACTGTACTCGCGCACGACCATTCTCATGCATGTGGCTATCATTGTCGTACAAGTCATCTTCGATTGTGCATGTGTTTGTGATTAACCGATGACCCCTACAACCATCGTGCAACCACTAGTCGACCCCAACCTCCAGCTTCTCGTTGACATCAATTGTTGCTAGCAAACACCAACGTAGCAGCATCGTTGCAATCATCAGTCAAAGGCGATAGAATCGTTGTGCTATCGCACACAACGACACCATTGCGTGTGCAGCCACAGCAATGCCTTGGCTAATTCACATAGGCAGACATCGCTACATGCAACAACACTACTATTTGGCTTAGTCATCGCCAATGACTGAGATAATGACCAACGAAGGTCATCGCCCTCAATAATGTTATTGTTGACCAAATATAAGTAACATACTACCATCATGGTTTCACTCGTATTACATTGCCCATAAGCCGGTAAGGAACACAGATGAATAGATTCAGATATCAAACAAGACAGAAGAGATACGAAAGTAAATCGACAACATAGACATATTGTTCAAACATCATATAATCAAAATTGAATAACATATTTTCCTAAGTAAATGATGCTAATAAATAGATCTAAATATAAAATAGATCTAATATATTTTTATTATCTAAGATATTTGATTTTAAAACTAAGACTCTGATACCAATTATAAGCATAAAACTATGACCATATTTTTGTTATATAGAAAAACTTTAATACTAAGAACTGAAATAAGATAACCATAGATTATAGTTTAGTTACGTATATCTTTCGATATCATTCAAAAAAAAATTATTTGATCTATAAGTATATTATCACCCAATCCAAAAGTTGTTACAATACTGATTCGACAACTAGACTCATTCATTGGACCACTAAACAATAGAATAGGGACTAGATTAAGAATATAACTCCAATCGTATATAATCCTAAAAAGGTTACGTCTATTTATATGTAAAAATAAATGATTTAAAATAAATAAGTATGAGAGTCCCTTTTATCAATATCATCTCCTTACGAATACTATCATATAACCAAAATCAAAATTTAATTAGATCTATAATATATCTTATCTATTTAAATAGATCAT